TTGAGTCAAGATGGAGCCACTGGATTCCAGCCTGGGTGACAGCGAGACTCCGTCTCAAAAATAAAATAAAATAAAATAAAATAAAAAAGAATATAAATCATCTGGAGCAATTGTTAAAAATACAGTTTCCTAGTCCTGGAAAGAGAGGGATTTAACAATCTATTTTGACAAAGGTCCTGGTTGATTATTAACAAACTACGTAAGTTTGGCAAACACAGTTTAAATATACAATGATATTCAAAAACTGTATTTACTCTGTTATGCGAAAGCACCAAATGTTATTGTTACCTAACATAACAAAAGAATTTGGATTCACAAATGTCTTTGCCATTCTCAGTGTCGTCTCTGCTATTGCTTGAGTTTCCTCTTCTCCTTCACCATGCCACTGAGGGTCACCATCAATCTTGCTTTTTATCTGTAGCCCCTTTGGAAGCCTTTACCAATTGAGATAAGGTCCCATTCCAAGAACATACAGAGTCTCCATTTTTCCACGTGGTTCCAGGGCATGACTGCCAGCCAGCAACCAGTTAGGGCACATTATATAGCACAGCTGCCAATGTCTTTAAAACATACCTTCTGAAGTCATTACTCCACATATAAACACCGAGTCATTGCTGAATGCACAGAACTTTTCCTCTGTGAAAGCACCTGAAGTCAGCATGCGTGACTTTTTTTTTAAACAACAGTTCCACACATTCTTCCCCATACAGTTATCAACCATTCTAAAGCAAGTTTGGATTTCCTCTCGCCTCTCTCTGTCAGACAGCATTCTCTCTCTGGGTACTATGCACAGCTTTAAAAACTATTCTTTATAACCACCTTCCTATTTCTAGTTCAAGGATCTATGCTATGAAATCCAGGTAAACTGATAAAGTGAAAGTTCTGACTGTTATATTGTATAATTTTCTTACCATGGACTAATCCATTAAGCATTTACTGAGTACCAAATCAAAACTAACTTAACACTTTAGGTTAAAACATTATCAAGAAATGAGCATAGTTCCTGCCAATATTAAAAGTTCATATCAATTTCATCTCTTTTTAAACACTGGGGCCAAAATTGGGGCAGGGCACAGTGGCTTATACTTGTAACCCTAACACTTTGGGAGAATGAGGCAGGGGGATCACTTGCAGACAAGAGTTTGAGACCAGCCTGGGCCACCCAGTGAGACGCAGTCTCTACCAAAACATTTTTTTTAAAAATCGGTGTATATTTTTCATTATTTCTTCAAACTGGGGTACAGTTCATGTCTCTGCTTTTGAGCGGCTCTTAGAACTCAGCCACAGAAACACCCAGGCTTATTATGCCAAGGGATTTTCTGATCACCTGCAACGCAATGGGGAGAATGGGGTTTAAAACGCTTTTTCCACAGAAGAGTAATGACCCAAAAAGAGTCATCTGAATTTAAAGCCAACACACAAAACCTGTTGACACGTGTTATACTTTAGTGCTTATA